TAAAAGTTTTTTTTTTTTTTTTTGTCAATTGATTGCTGAGCAAATTCTAGTGTTAAATGTCAGTTTTGTCAGGAAAAAAAAAAAAAAAAAACAGCAGAGGACCTCTATGGAGTGGTATAAATCTCTGAAAGGTAATGGAGGATAAGAAAATTCTCTTCCCTTTCTCCTCCTCTGTGGAATGGCCAAAGAAACCAGTGTTCTTCTCTGCAAGGTATGTTGTTATATTCAGCTGAACTGACCTTGAAGATTAGCTTTTATTATATTTCATCTTTGAAATGGAATGTGCAAGAGTTTAAAAGTCTCAAAATGTAGAGAAAGAAACTAATAATAGTACATTGAAAAAATTTATTATGTTAAAAATCATAATTCATTCAAGTTATTATACAAGGATAAATGAATTTTAAATGAAAATATTAAACATGGTTAGAAAATTAGTTTTGAGGGATGATAAAATTATTGTTGGTATTTTATTTTAAGAGCAATGTAGGGCTACAACTTTTTTTTTATCACTTATAGAATTAAGATATAATTTACATACAGTAAAACTCATTCTTCAGATCCTTGTGGTGATGGAACTATTCTGTATCATGGCAACATCCTTGTCAGTATTGTGGCTGTGATATTTTAATATAAGTTTTGTAAGATGTTACCATGGGGGGGGAAACTGGGTAAAAGGTAAATAGGATCTCTTGTAGTATTTCACATAACTGCATGTGAGTTTGTAATTGTCTCAAAATATAAAGTTTAATTTAAAAAAATCACTTTCTCATCTATAGTTCTGCAAACTTTGACAAATACATTTAGTTGTATTCCCACCACCAACATCAAAATTATGTAAGTGAGGAATCACTAAATTCTACATCGAAAACCAGTTTTACCATATATATTGACTAACTAGAATTTATATAAAAACTTGAAATAAAAAAGAGGTATAATACAATTCTACCACTCTCCACAATTTCTGCATAAGTCCTTTTTACCTTCCTTTTTACCCTATCTAAACATCCATCTGCTTTCTGTCCCTACAGTTTCACCTTTTCCACAATGTAATGTACACAGAGGCATATAGTAAATAGCCTTTTGAGTCTGACTTCATTTACTTAATAAAGTGCATTTGAGATTAATCTATATTTTGTGTGTATCAGTTTATTTTTTATTGCTGAATAGTGTTCCATTTTATGATGATACCATGGTTTGCTTGTCTAATCCCCAATTAAGGGGTATTTGGGTTGTTTCCAGTTTGAAAGTGATAAATAAAGCCACTGTAAATATTCATGTGCAGGTTTTATATGAATATAAATTTTTATTTCACTTGAGTAAATACCAAAGGAGTGGGATTGCTTGGTTATACAGTAAGTGTATTGTTAACTTAGTGAGAAACCTCCAAACTGTTTTCCAAGTGGTTGTACCATTTTGTATACCCATCAGCAACATAGGAGAGCTCTACTTGCTCTATCTACATCCTTGCCATTACTTGGTATTGTCAGTATTTTTATTTTAGCTCTACTAATAGGCATGTAGTAGTATCTCATTGGGGTTTTAATTTGAATGTCCCTGATAACTAACAACAGTGAGCATCTTTTTATGCATTTATTTTTCTGGAGAAATGTCTGTTCAGATATTTTGCCCATTTAAAAAATGTGTATTATTTTCTTATTATTGAATTTTGAGTTTTTAAATATACTCTGAATACAAGAGCTATATCAGGTATGCAGTTTGCAAACATTTTCTCCAGTCTGTAGCTTCTTTTTTCTTCTCTGAACAGTATTTTTTGAAGAGCAGCTTTGATTCTGATAAAGTCCATTTATCAACGTTTTTCTTTCATGAATTATATTTTGATGTTGTATCTTAGAAATCATTGCCTAACAAAACATCACAAAGATTTTCTTTTTATTCTTTTGAAAATTTTAGTTTTATGTTTTACATTTAGTTCTGTGGTTCATGTTTAGTTAATTTTTTATGGTATGAGGATGTTTTTTGTATATTAATCCTATTGTTCTGTCACCATTTGTTGTTAAGAACTTTCTTCATGGAATTGCTTTTACACCTTTATCAGGAATCAATTGGCAATATATAGCAAGTTCTAATACAGCACATGTGCACATGTGATCTTTTAAAAAATCACTTCACTGTGAATAATTACATATAATAAAAAGCACAGGACTTATGGGAGAAATGGGGTTAGGGATTTAACACTCAAATATATAACCAGTGCACACTAAAGAAAAGAAGTTGATAAAAATGACAACATTGTTTTACATATTCTAAATGTTTAAGAATATGTAAATACTACAATAAAAAGGTACCTTACCTTGAAAAAATCCTGATATTTGCCTGTAGAATTGTTGTCAGAAAGGTTGCAGTATGTTGGTTATTGTGAAGTGGTAGAAGATAGATTATGTGGAATTGGGAGGAAGATTGTAACACTACAGATGGGCAGGAGTAGCTCATAATATACATAATGAGCTGAAATCTGGCAGATGTTTGGGGTATGTGCATGTATCTATCATTACTTGGCTTGGTTCAACTAGGTGCATTTTTTTAAGTATTTATTTTTGAGATGGGGTGAGGGGTAGAGCGAGGGCTACAGAGGATCTAAAGCAGGCTCTGTGCTGACAGCAGAGAGCCCTATGTGGGTCTCTAACTCATCAACTGAGATCACAAACTGAACCAAAGTCAGACACTTAACTGACTGAGCCACCCAGGCACCCCCAGCTAGGTTCAGTTTTATAGTGTCTCACCTAGTGTTTCTTATAGACAAAATTGCATATATACCACACATGAAGTCAAACCCATTTGAAATTTGTGTTATGCTTAAATTGTTTTCTAATATATCAATCACGTTGGAGTAAATTTGCATTTTCAAAATTTGCATATCAAAACAAGCATTATAGCAGAACTGTATGTGTTAGTCTATTCTTGGGCACTGTCCTTTTGCATTGATATATACACATGTAGCCTTTCTCCAATGCCACGCTTTCTTGATTACTGTAGCTTTATCATAAGTTTTGAAGTGAGGTTGTGTAACTCCTTCATTGGTTTTCTTCATCAAAATTATTTTGGCTATTCTATTTTCTTGAGTCTTTTTTATAAATTTTAAGTTTAGTTTTCTTTTGTTTTTACAAAATAAATCTTACTGGGACTTTTATTAAAGTTTCATTGACACTGTAGATCAGTTTTTTGGGACTTGATATCTTTAACAACATTGAATCTTCCAAACCATGCATACAATATGTCTCTCCACTTATTTAGATCTACTTTGATTTCTTTCATAGGTGTTTCTAGTTTTTAGCATGCAGGTCTTACATCTGCTTTGTATATTTATGCCTCTGGATTTCATGCAGGTTTTTTTTTTTTTTTTGGTGGCATTATAAATGGTACTTTTTACATTTCAACTTCCAATTTTCACTGCTAGCACATAGGGATGATTGGTTTTTATATATTGGTACCTTTAGCTCTTTGAAAGCCTTAAACAAAAACGGAAGCTCAAAACCATAATTTGCTTTTTTAGTGTTTTAAAAAGTGTCTCTTTTGTGTCTTAGTCTATTTTAAAACTTAGAACACTATGACAGCTTTGATGATTTAATTGTTGACCTCTCAAAATTGCTGAATGATATACTAATATAAATATGAAAACATGTATTTTGAGGATGGAATTTAACTGAGCAATCTCTAAATGCTCTTAAAATGGTATCATGAAATACAGGCTGTTTTCCATTATTTGTCTCACCGGAGCTTTCTTAAGAGTAATTATAGCCCATCCATGAATCGTTTTAAGTTCTAACACATAGTTTTGTTTCCTTTGGTAGTTTCTATTTTCTGAGTATCTTCAGATATATTTTTCTGTCACATTGTTATCATAGATTTTGGACTCAGCAAGGAATCTGTAGATCAAGAAAAAAAGGCTTACTCATTTTGTGGTACAGTGGAGTACATGGCTCCTGAAGTAGTAAATAGGAGAGGCCACTCCCAAAGTGCTGATTGGTGGTCATATGGTGTACTTATGGTAAGTAGTGTTATTTTTAAATTGTGCCAATATAAAATTAATCTTATTTAGAATTTTGTTTTAAATTTTGGAATGTGTCAGGTGAGAATAGAGTTTTGATAATTCATGATTATTTAAAAAAAAACCTTCTGATTGGCTAGCTGTTATAAAGGAAGAATTACGATTTTGGTACTCTGATTTATTTTAAAGTTTCTAGATGAAAAGGTAAATGGTAGCATTCTTTTATAAGCTATTCAAATTTGAAACTTAGAAAAAGGCTTACCAGATTTTAGTTTTCAGAATACTGTTTTTAATTTTTTTTAACGTGTATTTATTTCAGAGAGAGAGAGAGAGAGAGAGAGAGAGAGAGCATGAGCAGGGGAGAGGCAGAGAGAGAGAGAGAGACCCAGAATCTGAAGCAGGTTCCAGGCTCTGAGCTGTCAGCACAGAACCCGATGCAGGGCTCAAACTCACGAACTGTGAGATCATGACCTGAGCCAAAGTCGGATGCTTAACTGAATGAGCCACCCAGGCACCCCCAGGTTACTTTGTTTAAATGTCACATGGGGGGGTTGCCTGGGTGGCTCAGTCAGTTAAGTGCTCGACACTTGATTTCAGCTCAAGTCATGATCTTGCAGTTCATGGGTTTGAACCCCACATCAGGCTCCACACTGATGGTGCAGAGCCTGCCTGGAATTCTCTCTCCCTCTCTCTCTTTGCCCCTTTCCAGCTCTTTCTCAAAACTAATAAACTTAAAAAAATACCATATGCTATTTTAGTTGGGTATCACAGAATTTAGCACCTTACCATAAACTTATTGTCAAATTGTTTCATGCATGTCCCTAGAAAGACTAAACTTTTTGTGGAGAGCAGTCATGTCTCATGCTACTTATCATCTGTCATGGTACCTAGCATAGCAGGCATACAAACTGACTAATTTGGTATAAATTAAGAGTATATTTTCAGTATCAAGCAGGGCACTAAGTGAATAGCTATTGAATCAATTTGTTTGTATAATCCATCTTGCTGATAATCCATTTTGCCTGTTTATTACTTTATAACATACTATATGACACTTCAATATATTAGGGCCTATTATAAACCTGACATTTGTGTAGGATAGTGGGGTAGCAACAAACTGAAGATATAATTTTGACATTTTCCGTGACCAAAGAATGCATACAATCTGTTTAGGGAAACAGTTGAAATAGCTAAATGAACCATCCAAAAATATACCTTAGGAATTCAGGCAAGAAATCATATAAGTTGATGTAGGAAAAGTGGAGGAGGTGGAGCTTAGATTAATCCCGGAAGGGTAGAAAAATTTAAATAGCTGCAAAGCAAGAAGGATCATATTAGTAGCAAAGACCTAGAGAACTAGTTTGAGTAGAATAGTAGTAGAGAATGAGGGTGACGGTGGAGGAAATGAGACTATATGCCAATAAGCATTTGCATGCAGTACTCTGAGTAGTAGGAAACTTTTGTAGATTCTTTTTTTAATGTTTATTAATTTTTCATCTTTATTAATTTTGAGAGGGCGGGGACAGAGAGAGAGAGAGAGAGAGAGAGAGAGAGAGAGAGAA